CTGTGCCATAGGCTAAAAATCCGGTAAAATGCCTATAACTCTGGACAGAAGGCCTATGGGCACTTATCCTTTTGGGGCTTTTCATACCTCACTGGGGTCTATCTTTCACACTGAGTTCGAACTCAAAAGCGATTGGACAGTTGAAAAGGTTCCCTCGTTAGATGAATGAGATACGGCCGATTTCGTCAGAAAAACTCCGGAAAATTGTAGGTATTTGAAGGTAGCAATCCTGTCATTGGATTTTGTAACTAGATTCCTGCTTCCAAGTTTCTACAATTTTCCGGTCGGAAACAGTGTCTATCCTGTAGGTTTCCATTAGAAATCGATGAATTTGGGACGCTGGAATCATTGGCATGTATATATTTTATTGTATACATTTTACTCAGACACTCATGACCGTGAATCTCCAATCTAACGCAATAAGATCTCCAGGAGTACAATATCTAGCTATTGCATTAAAAAATAATGAAGTAAAATAAATTTTCTATTCATCTATTGTCTATTGAATGTTATCAATTAATAAAGACGCTTACAAGTTTGAACTTTGCATATAATGAAATAGGCAATCGAGGAGTTCAATATTTAGCCGATGCACTAAAAGAGAATACCGTATGATAATTAGTCAATTCATTTATTCATATATTTATATGTTTATCATCTGACATAGACACTCAAACAGCTGGATCTTTGTAGAAACCAAATATATAATCAAGGAGCGGAATATTTAGTTGATGTATTACTGACAAATCATGTAAGATAAACTTTCTATTCATTACTCTTTAAGTTATCTGCATCAATAAATATAGACACTCACACAAGTGAATGTGGACAATAACTCAATCGATGATGAAGTACTTCAAAACTTAATTACTGGATTAGAAAACAATCGAATCCAATGACTCCTCTATTTCACTATCTCATATTTATCACTACTTATTCGACATAACTAATGGCAATGTTTAACCATAGTAACAACAATCATAAGACCATATCTAATTGTTATTGAGCTACAAAGTTATACGATAAAGATGAGATATTAATAGGGATTCGTCAATATTCCCTTGAGACGAATTTTTTCCTTCAATTTCTAGACAAGATTACTCGTTTTTCTATTATATCTTATTATTATCGAAATCCTTTCATCAGTTTTTAATAATAAAAGCTTCTCCCTACAACTCCTTTGCGGTTGAAATGTGGAACTCAGATGTATACTTTAGCCTCATTATAATAATACAAAATAAGTAAAGTGAAAATCACTCGGAGATTATAGTTATCCTTCAAGATAATTGATCGCCAAAAAAGCAATCTGTCTTATTTATCTCTGCCTTTCGAACAAAAATTTTTCTATTTTTTGTTTGCCTTGTAGTAGTTCGCTCGTTATTTAATCTTTTTGATATTTTGTTTTTCTTAATTTAACATTATTATTATTCTAAGTATTGATTTAATTGGCAAATAAGTCTGTTATACATACCCATTATATCTATAGCAGGTCTCAACACACTATTATATATTTCGATAAGTTTATAAACACTGATATTGATTATTTTCCAAAGTTATCACTTGATCAATTCACGTTGATAATGTTGATCATATAATGGCTATGGCAAATCAATGCATCACTAGTCATCGTCCTTGACATCTTGAATATAAAATTTTACCTGGTCAAAAGTCAGAAACTGGACTTCTTAGAACATTGATAAACGTATTCCAGTGATCCAATTTTCGAAGAAGACTTTGGAATGTTCTAGAATTCACTAGAACAGTTTAAGTCTTCTTGTCCATGCTGATCAATGCCTTTGTCTGCTGCTAAAGAATTCTGAGAAAGAAGTCTGATGCCTGTTGTCTTCTATAGCTAAGGCTTGCAATGAAGGTTGGGGAGAGAAGTTGCAAAACTGCGACTTAAAACTTACACTCACTATTTTCTTTAAAAAAAAATATGTGAATTGCACAAAACGTGTAGAAGATATATAAAACAACAGTGAAATAGAGTCGATTATAGTATTTTAGCTATTTTTTACGGAAATGAACGTTAATTAGGTTTGTTATTAATCGTTTGATTAACGAACTAAAGTCTAGTTTCACTTGAGAAGAGTGAATTTTTCAAACATACCAGAAGTCAAATCAAGAACAGGTTTTAATGAAATGCAAAATCATTCTATTGCAAGTACTTGACACAGCAATGACTTGACAATAAGCAGCAACAAAAATTATAAATCATCCTTTTTTTTCCCACACTTCATCCTTCTGAGCAATTGTATTAATGACTTCAGTTGGATGCGGTATCAACCCTTAATGAATGACGATGAACAATAACAACAGTGACACCTATGCAAATCATACACAAATCATGAAAAATCAAAAATCTGCAAACCACAAATTTTATAACTTTATACCATTTTAAAAAGAGTTGTCATCATGTGCAATGCAATATTATGTTGAATATATGTCTATGAACATGAATGTAGTGCGTATTATAAGTAATAATTTGAATAATCAATAGTATTTATATAATATTCAACAAATAATACGTCGATATGTATACGAAAATGAGTATTTGATGTCATAATGTTTGGCAATAAAGCATTTACTGGTGGAAGTATATATTCAATATGAGTATGATAACTAATCATAATTTTGATTCACCTACAAGATTAGGTAATGTTGTTTTATTTGGATATCAACTAATGGAGAGTGAGGTGAGAACAACTCTTCAATCGTATAGTACAAATGCACTGGTTGAAAAAAATAATAAAACTAGAATGGTATAACAAGAATATAGTTTTGTAAAGGTTGATATCTGGGATAAATCAACAACATCAATGATTTGATTAGATTGAAACTTATAGATCATAAATGATTGACGATGACAAAAGTTTCATGGAGTTTTTGCAAAGAATGAATAGAGAAGAGCATCGATTTGAATTCGAAATAATTTATATGATTATTGAAAACAAAATAATTTAAAATATTGACTAAATCATATGATAAACGTCTATTATTATGACATTAGGTGTTTTTGATGTTCACAGAACTTGATGGCAAGAAGCTAATCCAACTATTCTAGGCCCACGAAGATCAAAACGGTTGGTTTCGCAGCTTGATGTGTTTATATTGACAACAAGATGAATAGTATCGTACAGTACAAGCGAACTCAATCATATCAATAGATAAGAAGACATTTTAGTTTTAAAGAGTATTTTGAGAGTTTCTACGTCCATGGAGGAATTCTCTTCAAATCTAGGCTACTCTATCTTATACAGTTATGCTTAATGAATTAACGACATAGTTAAAGGGAAATTTCTTTATTGGTTTTAAAGATGATTCAAAAATAAAAGATGGTAATCTGTTTTACAATTTAGATTTTTATCTATTATTAATTGTTGGTGCAATAACTCTAGATAAATTGAATTTAGCTCAATCAGTTTTAAAGTTTGTTGGTATACTTCGATTCATCTATCAACAAACAGATTATATAATAATCTTCAGTCTTTTTTTGACATGGTTGAATGAGTATTATAAATTCATTGAAAACGATATTAACAGTTGAGATATTTGTGTTCTCGTCATATTACACATGTTAAAAAGTTCTACCTCTATTATGAAACTATCAATAAGTTAATCCAATATGGAAATGGAAACTACCGTTAAAATTTACAAAGAACCCTTTTTTTCTTAAAATCTTTCCTTGTAACTATGTTTTTTGATGAAAACATGGTTTCAGATGGAGCTTTTGCTTAACAATCAATATAAACAAAAGTTTTGTATTCGTAAAATTTATTAAATACGTAAGTGGACATTATTGTTGTGATTAAAAGCCTTCAAAAAATGAAATATTCGTGTAATACGTCGTTCTCACAGTAAATTATTCGATTAGTGTCACTACAGTACTTTTGTCATGCGCTTCAGTAGACAGAATATGAACATTCTATATCAAATTATAACATAAAACCGCCTTGATACAATTAAGAATTCATGACAATAGGAGGTGCTACAGTTCTGACCACGAGTCCCAACTTCTCCCTCTACCATGAAGTTTATCGTTAATTCAAGTTTTTGCCTGTAGCCTTCGACTGCATGTGCATAGGAAAAAAAAACGTTCATTGCAGAAATCAATCTCAGATCAATTCAATGTAATAGAATAGAGTTACGTGCCAAACACTGTCTTTTTCTTTGACTGCTCATATCTCAATCATATGAGCACTTTAAATTCTGCAGAATCCACCATTCGACAGCTTGGTTTCTCGGCTTTATTCAAGACAATTTTCCTCAGAATAGTCTTCCACATTATTGTGATATTCCACTATTAAAGAGTCCGTACAAAATATCATCTATGATGATTTTCAACTCGTTACTATGTAAGTCACCTTCAGATTGATTGATTTACTTGGAAGTATTTTCTCAATATACTCATAAATCTACCCTAGTGAATGTACTGAGCTAAGGGTACCCGAAAAAGTACCCTGCTACTAGTATGTCACAGGAACTTTCGGGTACTGAAGTACCTTAAAGTACTTTTAGGTACCTATAAGGTACTCGACCAAGTACCCTGCTGGAAAGCATCCAGTAAATGGGTACTTAAAGGTACTGACCAAGTACCCAACCGGGTACTATTGTTCAGTAATTCTGGGTACCCTGTTGCCAAACTTGCAGTATGTTGATGATCGAAACTAACCTCTGGCGTTTTTTCATTTTTGTTTCTCTCAAAGCAATTTATGATATTTTTTCGATTTTATTTTATTTAATTTTTCTAATTCTGAAAAGTCAAGCAGGTCAAATTTCGAGATCTGACCGGACGCGAATTGGTCGGATCTCCATCAGACCAATTCAAGGTAGTCCTCCCTCAATCTACGATTGAGATCAGCATGTCCTCGACTAGTAAATAGTCAAGAAAAATAATCTAGAAAAAATTAGTATGAAAAAATATTTTTTTCTTATGCTTCCTCGAGTTGCTTATATGAAACCGTATATGCAAAAGAAAACGGTGAATGAACAGTTGCTATACAGAACGCAACAAATCTAGGGTACCCTGTAGAGCTTTTCCTAGTGAAATTACAGGTGTGGGTACTCATGTAAGTACTTATTCAGTAAACATACTGCAATAGGTACCCAATGTAGTACCTACGTCAGTATAATTACTGATAATTTTCGAAGTACCCATATCGGGTACCCTGCTGAGGCTTTCTCAGTATATGGGTACCCTGAACTCAGTACTTTCTCTAGGGATGAATGTTTCTGAAATTTATCAGAATTATAGCATATATTAAAATGACAATATGATAATGTAAT